ATGAACTAATAACATTGTCACATTGATCGAGGTAACAAATCCTTTTCTCTGTGGTCCACGGCCCTGCCCATCCACGAGCGTAATCCTGATCATTTGCATGGCTCAATGAAAGTAATGCTATTGTTAATCTTATTATTAAGCACAGCAATTCAGAAATGGCACTAGGTTCGTACACCTAAAAATGCGTTGCTGTAATAAAATGTGTGCTTTTGTTTTTCACATTCAGCAGCTGTTATCTTTCAGGAAATGCGGGTTTAAAAAAAGCATACTGCGCAAACTATCAAGGAAATTACGTTTTTCAACATAAGTCTGATAACGACACGAGAATTTTTTTTCATTCTAAAGAGATGTGTTCACTTAAACTTTCCCAATATTTTTCTTCTCACATGGCAATTTGTTAATTTCTGTAAATACTTTTATAGGAACTATATTGAATTAGATCAATGCACTGGTATTTTCATTCTCACTTTGTGATTCTAGTTTTGTTCCACAGAAATTTGACTTGACGATGAAATTTACCTCTTAAAAGGGAAGGCACCTTTAACTGTAAATGGGAAGAAACATTATAGTGAAAAGAGAACAGGGTCTAGTGAGGTAAAATTAGTGCTACTCAAACCTCAACCAACAAACTTACAAACACAACCACACTGCATGCAAAAATACAGCTGGGTTTTTGCAGCTCCACACATGCAGATGATTTTTTCGTTTTATGTGGGAGATTACTAACCGCTAAGGATCTTTTTCTCTGATAAATTTTGTCAAGGTTCACTTCATATTAATCCTCCACATATGAGGAAATGGCATCGAGATCAGGCTAAGTTGCCCACAGATGGGGAGAAATCCCTTTTTCTTGACAGTTAAGAGGGATAACAAATTTCAGAATATTAGTAATAGTAAAACTCCTAAAAACTCCAAACCATGTAGATGTGAAGCTCTCTTGCAGCATATTTATGAGTGGGGACAGTACTATATGTTGTAATGTTACAGTTATTGAATCATTCCACTTTTTTTCTTTTGATCTGTTTAGATTTCCATTTGCTTCGATATCCCAGTACAGTCAAAGAGTGTTGTGTGAATGAAAAATACTGAAGTTGGTACTGTACTATCTTACACACTACCAAAAATTATTTTCTAATCAAAGATGTTTTAGTTAGAAAACAATATACACAGATACGAAGTTTCCACTGGTTCCAGTAACATGTTATTTTTTTTAAATCAATTGTTAAACATAATCATTCCATACAGCCTAATTTACTCATACATTATCTTTTTCAGGGGGAGCTGGCATGATGCAGCCACTGGGAACCTTTCCATCTGTAATGAGCACAATGGTATTTAAATTCATTTCAGTTTTACTTTACTGCATAATGCCTATTGACAACAAAACTAATCTTGGGACACTTTAAGGTGAAGACCCTGCATAGCAGAGGAAAAACCCAAAGATCAAACGATAGTCTATGAACAATCATAGAAGGAATTGTTTAAATATTTTGGGGGTATTTGGAAGTTTATTTTCCTGTATTCCAAACACAAGAGCTATTAGATGCACCACAAAACAATACAGTGCTGTATATACTGGTAGTTGGTACTTTCTTGGCTGAAAATTACCCAAATGTATCCTCTCCCTTTCTTATCTTTTGTGATGCTAGTTCAGAAACCTAATACAAAAACTAAACAAAGTTTGTGAGGCCTGTTAGTGTTATCATTAACTGTCCTTTAACTGTTTATATATTTATCTGATATTTAAGAATTACACTATTGGCTTTATCATATAATATAAATGTATTATTTTTTATTAAGTAGTCTAAAAATCTAAGATTGAGTAAAAGGGCCTTTTTAGCTGTAGCCCAGGAGACTGCATGATCATAATGTCCTACTATTTTCAGTCTTTGGTTCACTTGAATGGATTTGAATGGTTTGCCATTCAAAATAATCTTTATTTAACTTATACCAGATCATGAAGAAGCCCTTCAGTTCAGTTTCTCTTCCTCTATTATAAAACTGACTGATAAAGAAATGCCTGGTGTCATAACAGTAA